ACGGAAATTTTAATTGTTGAATTAAATGGAAGGAGCTAGTGACCTCACTCATAAAACAGTGGAAACAGAAAACAAAATATCTCAGATGAAACTGTTTTAGGCCTTGTCAAGGTGATTATTTTTTCTCATTCTGTGACACTTAAGAGCTGTTCTGTGACCCCTTCAGAAAGTGTGCTTCTCTGTGCTGATCACAAAAGAAAAAGTGCTCAGCAATAAATTAAATGGAACAAAAAAAAAATAGACCACAGGTACAAGGTACTCTAATGAAAAGGAAAGGTTAATTATATTTGTTTCCAGAACAAATGTAACATTTGGAGGAGGAAACATTAAGAATGTGTAGTCCACAGAAATTTTAACCCTGATATCAAAACCCATTGCTTCACTTCTTGAATAGTTTCAACTTATTTATTAAAAAAAAACAGCACCCATTGTATTAGAATATGCTTAATCAAAGGAAATACTATTATGCTGGTAATATTGATACTGATATTATTTTTGTTTGTTTTGGATATTAAATGTGTCCCTTTAATTAATTTCAATGTAATACCCAGCGTTTAATTAATTTTATCTCCAAATCATGTGCTCCGTACACATTAATCAATGTAATTATTCTCTTTATCTGGCAATATTTGGAATATTATAACAAAGTAGTTTAAAAACCCTTTTTACAGATTAATGGAAGATATATGATGGACCAGGTCATCAGAAATGGAAATTACAACATGAGAAATGAAGCAAGATAACACAAGAACATCCTTCAAAATAAAGGGATTAAGACTTGAAATGTTGATGTTTTACTAATAGATTTGCTCTAGTTCGTATTGGTAATCTGTAAAGAAGGTGTAATAAAGACGATACAACTGTTGTTGGCTTTTCCTCATGACGAAAACAGTAACGAAGTAATTCAGTTGGTAATGAAAATGTATGTACTAAGACTAAGTGGCTAAGGGATAGTGTGTCTTAATCTAGGTGCAATTTATAAGATTTAATGAACATTTTCAGATAAATAAACCCAGCAGGCAAGGACACCTAAACAAAGTCAAAGCCATAAATCAATTAGATAAACCCCCACACAAACTCACAAAAAGAG